CAGACTTGTTTAGTTTTACAGAACAACTGCCTATGTTCAGTCTTGGGACTTGGAAACTCTGAAGGCCTCTTTCTGTAACAGGTTCTTCCATTTTGCCTAAACTAAGGCAGATCAAGGCACCAGAACTGATTGGAAGGACTTTTTCTTTCAGGTTCACAGTTAACGTTCTTGCTAGTGTCCACAAGGAAGAATCAAAAACATCTTAGACTTGAAAGCAAGAAAAAAAAAGTGACTTGCTAGTGTTGGAAAGCAGGATCAGATGCCAGTGGAATGTGGACACACAGGGAGACACCTGAGAAACACTATAGAATGCTAACTATTTAGTAAATCAGACACTGACAACCCAAATTTGTCATCCACCATTTGTAAAAACTTTCTACTCACTTCCCTGTCAGAAAAGATAATCTTAAATCCTCCTTTATGATGCTAACTGTTACACTGTTTCTGAACCATTTGTATACTATAGTGATAAGAGTTTTTAAATAAAGAAGCACCAACTCCTCCTGAGATTTAAGACATAAGGAGGCTAATTATTCTGCTTTCCATGTCACATGAATAGCATGCGGTAAAAGAAAATCTAGGTCACACTCTGTAGTGAAGCTGAAAGAAAGGATTAGGAAATGGGACAACAAACCAGTTATTTTTATAAAAAAAAACCCAAACCAAACCACAAACCTCATTCAGTCAAAGGTTACTTTTGTTACTTTTTTGATAGACTAATATAAATAAAATGGGAAGGGAAGGGGCAAAGACTTCCTAAAGAAATTCTGTTTTGTAAAAACAGAATGAGGGAAGAGAAGGTGTAGACCATAAAGAATCAAACACAGGAAAGAGAGAAAGAACCTCATATGCTTTCTGGATTTGCATTGTTAAACACAAAACCCAAGTTGTCTGGCTTGTATGAATTCCTACCTGTCTTCAAGTATGTCAATAAAATTATTAATTCTTTCACTGAATAATTTCAGTAAAGGTTCTTGAACCCTACCCATGCATACTTACCATGCTATGGGAGTCCTAGGACTAATTTTTCACACTGTTCAAGTATGATACTGAAATCAGATTGCTGTCATTTATTCTCATATTCAAGCTCAAAATAGCTCTAGTATTTCTGTGGGCTCTCTGCTGTATTTGAAAGGAGGTAGCATGGGCTGTTATGGCAGGCATATTCTTTTCAGCTTTGGACAACTCTGAGGCTTCACTGTTTTCAGAAGTGGCCTTCTGTAAGGCTTGTAGAATGTAGAGAGATGGAGGAGAGGGAGAAGGTAAACCCACTACACAGACTGTCCTGATGCATGGAACAGGATGCGGTAGAGTCTTCATCCTTGAGATTGCTCGGGCCATGGTTCAGTTGAGGTTTGACCACCTACTTGACTATCTGCTCTATCTGAGCCTGCTTTGAGCAGGAAGAGGACTAGAGATCTTCAGAGGTCACTTCCAACCTGAATTATTCTAAGATCCCTCACTTAGACAAGCTACCTACCAGCAGGATGATAAAATGATTTATGCTGTGGTCTTAAGGGGAAGAACACTGACAGTGTATGAGCCTCAGTAAATCTGGGAGAGGTAGAAAAAATTGGGGAAGTAGTTATGGTTGAAAGGTGAGAGAGAAACTGTAATTTCCCAGTTTCTGTATTATTACTTGTGGATTAAATAATTTCTAAACAGGTCATGAGTTTTTGAAAAATACATGCGAGAAAGAGAGAGTGACCCTCAGTAACTGCTAAACTTCTGTAGTTTTCTGCCCTAGCATAGTGAAATGTTAATGCTACCAAAAGGCCAAATATAAATATGTGGAAAGTGATTCAGTATATAAGATTTTGTTATAATAAAGGGCTCTGGCCATACAATTAGGTTGAGATGGGATTTGTGTCAGTGCTCTGAATGCATTAATAGGCTTTAATAACCCTGACCACCCTCAGCTGGGAAATACCCACTTCAATTCACCCCTGGACCTTCAGTTCATGCCTGAACTGTGTTATAGGAGTGGGTGGCTCCAGCTGTGTTGCAGCTGAGCCTGGTCATGGGACCTTCTTTATCTTGACCTCAGCCAAGGACCCACCTCATCACCATGGACTTGCCTGGTGATTGTTGGGCTATGTCTGACCCACATTACTGTCACCAGACCTGACCCTTACTTGTGTTTCTGGCTTGCCTGTGGTGATGAGGCAACTCTGAAATCTTGTTTGATGAGCCAGACTCTTGGCTGGGCCTGCCCAGCTCACTTTGCTTGGGGGTCCTCTGTACTTAGGGAGCAGCTGACCCTTGCTGCACCCTGACAGCTAGCTTAGGCCTTACTAAGCCCTGAATCAAGCACAGGTGGGTCTGCCCCAGGGCTGTGTGGGGTCTTCTCTGGTGATCTCTCCCAAGTCATCAGCCTGACCCTGGGCTTTCTCCCCACCATGCTGGCCCCCTGCCCAGCTCCAGCTCCTGAGTGAACCCTCCTCCCAGAGCCCACCTGGCAGCCTCTGGGGACTGGCCTCCAGGGTTCCTGCCATCCACAAGTCCCCTCTGCCATGACCCGCTCCCAGGCCTTTGTCCCTGCCATGGCTCAGTGTCCATGAAGTAGCCCACTGACAACCCACACTGACTGAATCACTCGAGAGGAAACCCCTTCTGAACCCAGATCTCTAAGGTGTGAGGACACACCTTGTTGGAAGGGGAGGTTGCTGCATGGGCCCTGAGGGCACACACAGCCCTGACCAGCCTCATCTGGGTCCCCTGCCCTTTGCTTCAGGGTTCTGTTTGAGTTCTAGCTCGTGTTGTCAGTCCCTGCTGGAGCTGGACTGTAGGAGTGCTGTTGGTCTCCAGGTCAGCCACAGAGGTGCCCCTGGCTTCCCAGCCTGATGTTGGACCTGCCTCATCACTATGGACTAGTCTGGTGATGCCCAGGCTGTGTCTGACGCTGGTTACCAACATCCGGCCTGATCTGATCCCCACCCATGGGCTGACTTTGTGGCTTGTCCTTCAACCTGCCTTATCACCAGAGAGTTGTCTGGTGATCACTGGGCTGTGTCTGACCCAGGTTACTGTCACTAGACCTGACTCCATGTCACACCTCTGGTTTGACCTCAGACCTGCTGCATTACCACAGACTTTGCTCTGGGTTCTGGGCTGACTCTGACTCCCATCCCAGGGCTGCTCTGCTCGCAGCTCTCAGGAGCTGGGGGTTGAGGTCCTGACTATCCCGCCAGCCTTGCCATGCTGGGCTCTCTGCATGCAGGGAGGGGTTGGCCCTTGCTGCTTCCTCACGCTGTGAGCACAGCCTTCACCGGCACCCATCCAGCAACAGAGGTGTCAGGATTACAATGAGACTTTGCAGCATCTCATGATGCTGTCCTCCTTTCTGCTGATGAGACATTAAACGGTGAACGCTGAGAGCATTCACCCATGGAAGCACATTTGATCTTCAGCCAGGTCTTGAAATGTAACAGCCTCTCTGCAATAATGTTCTGCTTATACATTAATTGTTAATTTTTGTGCAATTGTAAAGAGAGAGTGCTGAAAGTAGTTAAAACATAGACTTTCATGCTGTGACAATAACTGTAGGCTCTTGAATACCACTGGCATCAGACTTAATTCTTAGACATTATAATTATGTGAGGGCTCATTCTCTGTGAGTTTGCTCTCACTTGTCTTCCCTATTTAATTTACCTTATAATATTTTGCACTTTTCTTCTAGGCTTGAATAGGAATATTGTATTAGGCAAGCAGGTGATGAGAGTCTGCTCTCTGTTCCGGTTATTGCAATTCCACCAATTCTGGTCAAGTTACTAGAATTTGCTGCAACTTAACCGCAATCAGAATTTAATGTGTTTGGGTTTTGTTTGTTTGTTTGTTTTTTAAATAAGTATCTCTGGATGTTCATTCCATAGACCTTATTTTTATTTCTGTCAGAATGGAAATTAATGTGTTGTTCTAGTTTCTATTTCATGTTTAAATTTCAGGGCCTTAGCATTCTAATAGCAACTTCATTCTCTTCACTCTGATGTTAGCAGGTAACTCAGGTAGGAAATTAAAAAGAGCTGTGCAGTCAACAAAAGGCATTTACAGACCTAGTAAGCAAGGAACCTACCCTTTGAACATAAATGTCTGCATTATCTTTATCGATAAACAAGCAAAGAAGCACCTATTTCTTCATATTTCTATCAGTTAACTATCTGTGAAGAGTTTGAAACTAAAAACCTCTTGGTAAGTAATACCTAGAGGTTTTTTATTTTTAATTTATGTAATCTGTGCTTCTAGGAGTTTAGTTCCCCCATACAGTTAAGTAATTCATGTTGAAATGTCACGTGAATAGCGTATCTTAGGAAGATGCTACTGAAATTTAGTCAGATCATATCAGATGTAAAACCTTCAAGTTAATTGAGTGATAACATCAATTAATTCAGGCCAATGTAAGGATTAAAAGCAAGAGAATGAAATACTTCATGCTTGTAGGAAACATACACATAAAGCATATACACTCATATCCCAAGCACTAGCATGCACACACACACACACAATTCTCCACAAAGACAGTTTGTACTTAACAATGATATAATAATGTTTAGGTATTTTGAGTTAGACATACAGGTGAATTTGCTATCTTTCTAAAATCCATGGTTTACTCGCATTCTGGTTTTTTATACCACCCTCTTCATTTTTGATACCATCCCTTTCAGTTTCAACAGATTTTTTCCATCATAAAAAAATTACCAACCATAAAATTAATGTGTAATGTCTGAATCTAAGAGTTTTAACTTTTTGTCCTACTGTCTTTGAGTCAGATCAAGCATGCCCTAGATATAAAAAAGACAAGAATAATCCTCAATGCAGTAATTATTTTGTTAATTTAACTTAGGCTTGATACAATACTCCATTTGTACTTTCATATGTTAATATATACTAGTGTTTATATTATCTTGGAGCTCTTGCAACGAGTTCACAATATTTTCTATTCATAACTTATCTATTTAAATTATAGCTCTAAGAAAATAACATGGAAAATACATTTTTGTCACCTTTCGTTGAAATCTGGGAGTTTCCTGAGCTTCCTCTTCTGTACCGTATTTTTGGCTGCCTACCATCTTCGTTACTGTGCTCCTCTTGCACTTTTCTCTGCAGCTATCACACTTTCCTTGAGAGAACCTTGGGTGGCTCTGAACTACACAGCTGAATTCCCACTTCTTGTACTGAAAAGACAATTGAGCAAAGGTCATGCCAAGTTGTTCTTGTATGACTGTCCCAAGGGAGGTTAAAGATCAGCTCAAAGTAATCTGCTGTGATAAAGCCATTTAGCAGAGGAAGTCCCAAATCTTGCTCTTTTTTTTTTTTTTTTTCCTTTTCCAAAGCAAAGCACATCCCCTGCCCCCCTTTTTTTTTTTTTTTTTTTTCCCCTGCAGCATTTAAATATGCTTGTTATGCTGTGCTGCGGAAAACAGATGCATTCTTGTTATGGCCGGAGATGAATGTCAGGACTGAACTAGCATTCATGAAAAAGACTTTTGTTCTGTGCTGGCCCACAGTGGAGCTATGGCAACAACTTCAGTTTGGTAAATTAACTGTATCACTGTGTACTGGCTCAAATCATGGCATCACCTGAATGACAAACATGCCACCGTTTGTATGACAGCTGACAAAGAGTATTGTTTTACTTTAATCAAAAGCATTAAATACCAGTCAATTCAAAATTCCAAAGCATGTGAAAACTAGGTATATGTGAAATGCAGTATCACTATTTTATTCAAACTGAACAATTTAATGACTGTTATTTTATAAATGTTTATCACAGCTTAAAAATTTGAGTAACTTCTGAATTTGAACCCCACATCGTGCTTGGTGATGCAATCTTGTTTTCTGCACGTGTTTAAAATAAAGAAATAAAAGTGGATACACTGCATTAAATGAAAGGCTTCTGCAGGTCAGATGGGCATTCTTCCTATAGCTGTTTGTGTTTCCAAGGATGCGGGTTTGCTACAGCTAAGCTGACTTAATAACTAGCTGCTGCTGAGAGGGGTGGTCTCATTCTCTCGAGTGCCTGGGAATGGGCACTCTGGCTGTCAGGGTGGCCAGCTTCTTTTGGCACCAGGGAGCTGCCACAGGCAGTTAGGGCAGTTCTTCTGCTTCCGTCTAGGACTAGCTCCAGCAGTGAGGTAGTTTTGCACTAGGAACTGGGTAGATAAGTTAGAAGGATCAAAATCTGGTAGGTTTTTTATTTCTCCCTTACCAATGCAAATGAATCCTTGTGGAGAAGTAAAATAATTTTCAGTTTCAGGACCATAAAAATTCTCTCTTCTAGATGGTTGAAAATAGTCAGTTTATCCAGGCCAAATAATACCAGCTAATGCTCCTGCAACAGTGTATCAGCCTTAAGGACAGAGTCCTATTTGCTCTCAAACAGCTTGGAAGTGTTGGTGCTACCTGCCTTTGTAAGAAGCTGGAGTCAGTGCCTATATATTTTCATGAGCATCAAATGCTTCTCCAGATAATTCTGCAAATGGAGGCAGCAAGTTCTTAGTGACTGGCCAACACTGATGCTTTTGGAAAAAAAGGTCAAGGTTAATCTGTGATGAAAAAGCACAAATCCTACCGGTTTCTCTGGGTTTCTTAATGAAGGCACAGGCAGATAGATCTAAGCCGTTTTAGAGAGGGCTTGTAAAGCTTCAGTTGTATTCACTAAGGTTTTAAAAAACCCATTTTCAACTACGCCAGAAACTGTGTCCTTTTCCAGACAGAGTTCTTGCTCCTCAGCTGAAGCTTGGTGTGTAATACTCGACACATGTGAGTGAAGACATCTCTGTAACATCAAGATGAGCAGAACATACCCCACCTTCCCACCCTGCCAGTCAGGTGTATACAAGGAAAAAGCTCTAATAGGTCTTTTCTCTGAGCCCTCCTCACACTTAGCCTCTTAAGAAATCCAGTCTGAATCTGTTGTGGTTTTTTTTGTTTGTTTGTTTTTTTCTCCCATGTCTAGCAATGAAAATACCCCAAAAGATAAAGGGATTTGGGAAGCCAGAGGGCACCCATTACATCAGCTATTTTGTCACGAAGCAGGCCGACCACTACACGTCTCTGAAGAGACTAGGGAGTAATCTACTGATTGAGTTCCTGAAACTTGTGACAGAGGGTAATACCTCGTTTAAATACGTAAAAAGAAAACCGTGGCTCCTATGGGTTATAGTCATAGTCTGTCGTGATCGTCCCCCTAGCTTTAGTGGTTAGATATTGCTTAAACCTGTGTGGGCAATGCCCGCTTCTCCCAGCAGGGACAGCTCTACTCAGGCGGCCCCTGGCCCTCACGCTGCAGCCTGGCTCCAGTTTTTAGATGCTCGACATCATCCACCACCTTCTCCCAGCTCAGGAGAGCGCGTTTACATTATTTCGCCCCAAGGAGGGCACCGTGCCACTACGGTTTATGGGCCCCCTGCAGCAGGTCGGAGCCCAGCCGGAGATCCCTCCGGCGCGGACGCCTCCTCGCACCCCTCCCGGGCCCTCAGGACAAACTAACGAGCGCAACGTCTGGGAAAGCGCCCCCCTCCGGCTGCAAGGACGCGGCTCCGGCGACGGGCACGGCACG